TGTGCAGAAAAAGTTTTGGTCGTGTTCTTTTCCAACTACCGTCAGGTATGGTCATATATAGCATATATGTTTCTGAGCTTACATAACTTTTGAGCGTGGTATTGCCTGTCATCATCACATGTCAGAGTTAGAACTAAGGTGCCACCGCAACAGTAAGACAAATCACATATTTTGACTGTTTGGAGTTGCAGCGCTAAGCAATAAATTGCATATGACCTTTTGGCCCGCGGTAAACCGGGTCAAACCATGTAATCAGGCATCGGTGGTTCAGTGGTAGAATGCTCGCCTGCCACGCGGGCGGCCCGGGTTCGATTCCCGGCCGATGCACTTTTCTATGCCCCAACACCAATTCACATTTCACACCTGCAGTGGTGAACAATGAAACATGGCTCCCACAAGGAAACAGCTCCAGTATAAAGTGACAGTCACCACGGTGTAAGACAATATTCCGGCATAAGTCCACACCATAATAATATGACGCATCATGCAGCAACATCGCATCACAAGTTGGTACGGGCCGAACGAGGAGTGCCCACGGAGACTGCATCAAAAAGTCGCACACACACAACACTAACCTGCTTGAAACACCAGTAATGGTGGAATAGTGTCAATGCTTAACACACCAGACACTTTTCCACAATTACTGGTGTGCACCTTTAGGACACAACCATCACAATACAAACAGCGCCTACGAGACTGCATCGTGGTCCGGCACACATAAGACACTAACTCTTCGCTTGACGGCACACATAAGACACTAACTCTTCGCTTGACGCCTGCCTAATTTTTGTTGTTGGGAAAATTTGCGCCACGGAAGTCATCACACACTACAGGCCTATGCGCACCCATAGAGGATAGGCGCCAACCTGACAGTCACCCCTGAACGCGTCGAAAAGATGATCCTTGATCTCGACCACCGAATACCAGACATCATTCTAAAATGACCAAAACACCGCCGAAAGAGTTCAAGACGAGGAAGACCTCGGAGTAATCGCAAATGGAGAGTTCTGCAGAAGACGCTGATCTGTTCAATCATGGAATCTGGAAACATTGTGTGGGACTGATATAAGTTAAAAAACGAAAAAGGATTCGCGTTCAGAGCCGAGCGACGAAAGTAGTTCCGACGTTACACCATCAGCCGTACGGGGACAAAGCCGCAGACGCTGAAACGGTCCGGCCCGGTGCACGGACAGAGGAGAGGTGGTATCCTCACAATGCACCCGGCTTTTAGGGGCTTGGCCCAGACGGATGTCACGTGGCAGTCTTCTGCTGTCGGTCAGCGCAACAGCAGCCACCTACCAGTCTCCAGAAGTCGGCAGCCGTCAAAGCAGCCAGACACCACCACTTGGGAGTCAGCAGTTGATAAATGAACAGCCCGTCACAAGATGTGGAAAAGGTGCAGGCACTAACCGCGTCCAACTCGCGAGTGGACCAGTGCTGGAAAAACCGGACGCACGAGCTAGAATGTCGAGATCGGGGTAGAGCAAGAAGAGGAGGTGGGCAGTGCACTACTCAGGACAGCGACGGTTACTACCCCCTTCCCCCCTCCCCCTGCACACACACACACCGCGTTCTTCCGCTTCTCCTTACCTGACTAAACCGTCCCAGCCCTGCTCCACAGTTCGAAACCCACAGGCAAACAAGGCTTCAATTTCCTATGTAAACGCAACGTCAAAGCCATTAGGACCCAATGACTTTCGGGAAACAGCTTTCGCTCAAACTGCAGAGCATCGGTGGTTCAGTGGTAGAATGCTCGCCTGCCACGCGGGCGGCCCGGGTTCGATTCCCGGCCGATGCAGGCGCAGCCTATTGTATCGACAGCCTTTAAAAAAAGACATCTGCCTGCAGCCTGCCCCGCTCCGCCCCTGCCAGCTAGGGATCGCTCCAGCAGCTAGGGATAGGGATCAGCTAGGGATCACTGACTGCCAGCCATTCAAACTGACAGCAAACCGAGAGGGCCGCAGTAGCACGTCTGAAGCCTTCGCGCGCAAGCAGCTGAGAACAGCCAAGCGCACCACGACCAACCGAGGCATCAGACGGGATTTGAACACGCGCTGCCACGGGTAAGTCGATTCCCATCCAAGGCTCCTACGTGTCATCAACCACGAGAAGATGGAGCCAACTCCCGCCCGGGGTCCGTCCCCAAGTATTTTCGTTCGTTCAAACGGGGGACACACCAGCGCTGCGGTGCGGCTGCCCTTCCGACGTGTCGCAGCCCATGGCTGCAGTAAGTACTTGGCTGAGAATGCGAATTTCAAACCTCGCTGCCCATATGTTGCAAATATAAATCCAACAACACCTAGTCCCCCTTGCCTGTGTGGCCATCCGTATGAAGAACCAAACGCCATATAATGAACTGTTTTCCGTATCATCACACCATGATTCCAATGCTCCGCGAAGCAAAGCACATCATGCCAAACCATTCGAGCCCTATCAAGATTAACAACTCCATATCTATCTCTGAGGCAACGATTTGCAAAATTGCACCGGGCAGCAGAAAACAAAAGCTTCCAAACATTTATTTTTTCCACAGCACTACCGGCCACTCAAAACGGTGCTTTCTCTTGCGCGTCAGAATCATGCTATCAAAGATCAGGTCAAGCTAAGGTTCAGTTAGTATCAGGTCGGTTCACTGCAGTCCGTTTTCTTTTCCTCTGGTTCCTAAGGCCGTTGGTTTGGAAATGTGCCAGCTGACCGACTGCCTTATTACAAACAGCGGCACCAATCCCTTCGGTCCGATACGAGGAGCTTGACCTCGCATGACCCCTGCCGGTGACCTTGAGTTGCTATGTAGTATGTCTGGCCGTCACTAGCACCCAGTGATCCCATCCGTTTAATGAAAATACGGCAAAGGAAGCTAACAAGCGTAGCTGCAAACGGCAGCCTGTTGAACCAAAAAGAGTCGCCGAAGCTTCACTGGTGACATCATACGACCTGACGTCATATGACCTGATGTTATACATCGGTGACCTGGCCCACCGTCGGAAATATTCCTTTTACAACGTATCAAACTAAAGGCCTGCCAAACACTGAAATTCGGCTGAACCTTGATGCACGGTTCAAGATTTATTCTGGCATCCAGGAGGGAACACTTTTAACCCCCAACGGTCGAGGGTTACGCGCATCGCTAAGACCACGCGAATAAAGGCCGCATCGTGAGAGGCGAGCATGCCGATTTTGACCCAGACGTCTCATTGTAAGGTGTCACCGTTTTCAATGACTCATTTGGACTAAAATTGGACACCAAATTAGGTGCAACCCCTTTAAAATATCACTCCGGCTGCATAGAGATCACCGTCATGCACACATCTTCATCTTTAATGGGTCAGGCTCAAGACCAGCTCCATCAAATTCTTCCACGCCTTTCCGCTATGGGCCTTCCAGCGTAAAGTGCGCGACCCGCGGTCGGTATAACTCGAACCTACGCTCCCAGATGGAATCTGGTTTCCCGTCAGACGCCTTAACCACTCGGCCATGACCGCCGCCGCCCACGGATTATTTTGACGAGAGGCAGCGAAAATATATACGAAGTGAGCGGCGAAAGCTGAAGCTGTAGGGAAGGAGAAGGGGGCGGTAAGGCCGTCGTCCGTCACCACACAGACCAGAAGAGAAAAAATGAACACTAAAGTTTCCATATTCACCACGGGTAGTGATATCGTACGCCGCGACTTGAGTGGTGAAGGTTTTAGGAAAATGGACCGGAAGCATTGGAATAGAGATTACTGCGGAGTACAAAAATTAAGCCCCGTTAACTTGAGCAGTGTTTTATAACCACTTGAAACGATACTGGATGTGGTACAATGACAACACCATAATATTTGCAACAGCGCAGCTGCGTGTCGTAATGCTCTGATCACACCAGGAAGTCTCTACGCTCTGCATTCTACTCTTTTTTGGCGAACGGTGGCGCCTGAGTTTCAGTCTACGGCGCACCATGAGATGGACGCCTCGGCGCTTACGTCACAACGGCGCTGAAATTTTTGCGCAATTATGCCGCGGCGCTGCGGCGTCGTTACGACAGCGTGTATTTTCTCTAGCTGGTAGATCACTGATTGCCTTACACACAGCACTGACTTGGGCGTTGACTGCACAGCGAATGACGCACGCCGTCGATTGCTGGTGTCGGTATGATCGAAGACTATGTCGCTACGGAAGTGTGAGAAAATATGGCAAGATTCCGACGAACGTGAGCCTATCGGACTCAAGATCTTTCACAGTTGCAACTGCAGTTATTTTCTTTGCGGCGCGTCCACGGGGTGGTTGCTCAGCGCCTAGTCGTACAGGGAAAAAGAACCCACACACAGTACAGAGACACACACACGTACGCAAAGACACACAGTTTCAGTCGACGAGTCAGCGATTTAAAGCAGCCAAGAATGCCCGGCGCGAGGAGGCACAGACGGCCGCCGCAGGCAGGCGGTTCCACGCAACGGCGGCGCGGCGCAGGAAGTGTCGCTGGGTGGCGCTTTTATGGGATCCGTGCGCATCAATGTCACAAAGGCCTCGAAAACGGTCAATAATTGAGAAGTAATATCTTGTCGCAAAAGACCCTGGACCCTGTTGGCGCTTGTTTTCCTCAACTCGCAATGAGTCATTCAGCATAACAATGTAGCAAAGGCTTTTGAATGTGACCCCCCCCCCCCCCCTCCCCAAACGAAGATTAAATATGTGGATATCGCTTGCGATCGTGGTTCCAAAGTCTAAATGGTATTCATACTGTGTTCTCTGGTATCATTACTGCGATACTGCCTATGATACCGATACTGGTAAGTGATATACTGCAAGTGATATGATGAGATGAAGGTAAATGATATACTAGCTGCTCTTCGAGTGAGACCTAGAATGTTTGAGCTAGACTTGTGGCATAAAGAACCCGGTGGCAGCCATAAAACCTTTTGAGAGGTGATGTGAGCTTAGAGGCCTGTCGACAGCCTCTCCCAGGTTTTCTTTAGACAGTCTGATGATAAGAAGTAGTTCACACGGACCCAAGCTGGCTGGGACTACACCATCTGAGCAGCACCACCTGCGGTAAAGCCAGCCGGGGAGGCGGAGGCACGGCACCACCCTCTTCCCCACTCTCACCGCTCTCTCCCACCACGACTGCATGGTCTATGCCTGAAACAACAAAGGGCCCAGCCGGACTCCAACGAACTTAAATGTTAAAATGAAGGCACCTCACGGTCAAAAAGTCGGAATACGGGTATTCACCACCTTTCTTATTGCGGTGTTCAGGCTCTGTTCGTGTAGTCAGCCAGGTTGGTGAAGAAAATCAGACGCCTTCTTAATCTGGTCGACAGCGAAACTTGATAGGACAGCTTGACCTTTGAGCTCGTATCTCGATGTGGAGACAGGCCTGCAGCGCCCTTTTCCTTGGTATCAAAGACCGCTGCGGTGGTTTCAACCCGCCGAACCAACTCAAACAGATGCCGTGTAGCGAGGTTTCACTGAAGCACTCCAGGAAGCGGAACGCTCAATAACCACGGTTCGTTAGCCCGTCTGCCCATATTTCTTGAACACATGCACCAGTGGGTACGCATTACGGCACATGCCCCATGGGGCGTACTGAGGTGATCAAAACATGAGGTCGGCTCATGACAACCAGTTCAATCACTTCTTCGGCCAGCATTGGTCAGAGCGATGAGGAAACTATGTATTGTCCGGCAACTTGCAGAGCATGAGCGCTTCAACAAGAACGCTCAGGGACCGCATGCAAACTAGGAGAGCATGGGTGTTCCAACAAGAGAAGGCTAATCACCACCTTCAAATCGTTTTTTTTTTTTTAATGCCCCACCATAGTGCTAACGGTGGTTGCACGGACAAAGGAATAGCTTTAACCCCTGCCCCTCCCCTCTCAGAATTCGAGCGCCCGTGGCGGCCCACCGCCCTAAGCATCGGTGGTTCAGTGGTAGAATGCTCGCCTGCCACGCGGGCGGCCCGGGTTCGATTCCCGGCCGATGCATTTTTGATGGCATTACATCGGGTCACAGTCCATAGGTATTGCATTCACTTGCCCATCAACGAGATACAACACTCCCACACTAAAATAGAGTGTGTTCGGGGCCCAGTGTTCCACATTTGTGTGTTGTTGGGCTGAAACAGCAATCTCGAAGACCTTTCGGTACTGTTCATAATCCCTTCTAATCCCATACTTCAATCCCATACTTTTCTTAACACCTAACCCCTTCCAGTTTGAGCTGCATGCCGGCAAATATGGGAACAGTATATCGGGGGGAAAGTGTCATTGTTAAAAAGTCACACTGTCACTAATGACGTCACAATAACGTCATTTAAATCTTGTCATTCTATAAGCCACGCAGTGACAAGGCCAAGAAGAATATAATTGTCGTGCTGTTCATATCTGGCGTTCGTGAGGGTCATTTACACGTGCAACAGCCGCCAAATCGCTCTCAATCAATGTTGTGCAAAGTGCCATGACGTCATCAAACCATAACGCATTGAAGAGTATCTTTACTAAACAGAGAATTATGCTATCTTGAGTAGACTTTTCCATTTCAGTATACCCATGGTTGTAAGCGTGTTTCATCACATCTGACGCTTGTTTTAATATCTTCAAGGGTGAAAAATTCCCCTTAACTTCGTCTGGCATCACGTCAAACCTGCTCGTGCTGAAGACTCCGCAGACTTCACGCCATATTATGTACCTAGCCGCCAGTAAAACCCTCAGCGCAGGTCATGCTTTCACCCAACGACAAAGGTCATACAAGGTCACCTAGGGTCAATTTACATCTCTCAAGAAGCTGGCAAAGACATGCCAAGCCACATACCAAACCGCTGGCAGAGGTCAAGCCTCAAGGTCAGGGTCAAACAAGGGTCAGATTTTCCACCTTCAGTGTCAGGGAGGTCATTAAGGTCACAATTATCACATAAGAATCCACGTCAGGTGGCATACCTGGCAGCTGACAGAGGTCAGACCAAACCATGTAACCAACAGAGGAGCCAGTCAGTCAGTCACACAGCCAGAACGGTCACGCAGGTCGCACACGAGGCCACCTCAGGTCACCTACCGAGCAGCTGGCAGAGGTCGGCGATGGAGAGCAGGAGACGGCGCTTTTCCTCATCGGAGGTGGAGGGCGACCCGAGCTTGGTGTCGGCCCACCCCAGTACGCCCAGCAGGCGACCCGACACGTACCTGCCGCACCGGCACAGCCAGGGTCACATGCCGGCGCTGGAGGTCATGTGTGGGCGTGCGTGTCTGCCTGGGGTCACCAGCCTACCAGCCCATGGCGGAAAATGGGGATGCCGATACCAACAATGATGCAGTGTAGAAGGCGACTTGCAGGTGTGCTTAGGCTGAAGATTGGATCAAGTTAGATAAAGTAGGGATGCATAAAATAATTGCATGACTATAAATGAACTTGCTTCACCATAAATTACAGTCTGCACTTAGATAAATTATACTGGTACGCTAAAGACGGTATTGCATTGATACGGGCATTTGCATTGCACCCTTAACAAAGGGTGCACGAGGGTATTCGGGAAACGAGGTCACTAAATATAAGGAATGTGCAGACTACCATTACACTTAGCCATGTGATAGAGGCCTTGCATGAAACGACTCAGCATCCAATAATATTGAATTCTTACTTTACACATCAAGTTGTATATCACATCTACTTTTGTGTCATATATCCGTCCAAAAATATTGAATATTACCTGACATTGCAAGGGGCTGTACATGCAGGTGAGACACAATGTTCGCGGCTCGTACAACGACATGACCGTTAGTATAATTAAGGATTCTTCCTGCATATATATTTCCATTTTTCAGCTTTCACACTCTCAGGTACTTTCCCCTTTCTGGATTTTGCTTTTCACATCGCCCACCTGTCCCCCCACCGATTCTAAAATTCCATCCACTTTACTCATTCAATGTTCACCAGCCGATTTCAATATCTACCACTCAAGCATCAAGCCTGACGTCAAGCACCACGCGATGCCGTCCGTCCATGACGTCATACCGTATGACGTCGTCTAGAGGAACGGGCTGGTCGGCGGGTTCGCCGCCTCTCTCCAGGCGCACCAGGCAGCCCAGCTCGCGTATGACGTCATCCCGGCACGAATGCAGCCCCAGCAGCAGCTCGTTGACCTGTGCACCGACAAATGACGTCACTCATCGGCCTGCGCACCGGCAAATGGCGTCACCCATTGACCTGCACGCGGGCAAATGACGTTACTCATTGGCCTGCTCAACGGTAAATGACGTCACTCATTGACCCGCACAATGGCGCATGACGTCACACGCATACCGGTGAAAGAGCACGGCGGCTGCGGACAGTCATAAAGGCGTGGAAGCATGAGACATTAACGGCACAACATGTCAGTTTGTTTGCACCACGGAAGGCCGGTGACTGGCTTGCACGATGCCTCTCTCGCAATACCGTTTGGGGCACCTTCCGAAGCTGCTGCTATACTTTTCTGACCACAAAACAATACACAGTTAAGACATCCACTTTCAACACGCAATGACAGAAGCCTACGCATCCTGAACGGCAGTCCTTGCACAAGACTGAGCTGAAGCAGCCCTTCGCCCTTATTGCCTAACATCAGCCGTTGCTGGCAGCCAGCGGCAGCGCGCTGCTGTTCTGCCAGCCCCAGGGGCCCTTACTGGCACACAAACAGTGCCCTTTGTCACCATATCACACAAACAGCGCCAACCTTTGTCACATCATGCAAAAAGCGCCGCCCTTTGTCATCACATCACACAAGCAGCGCCGCCCTTTGTCACATCATACAAACAGCACCGTCATTTGTCATCACATCACACCAACAGCGCCGTCCTTTGTCACATCACACAAATAGCGTCGTCCTTTGTCACACATCATACAAACAGCGCCGCCATTCGTCACCACATCACATAAACAGCGCCGTCTTTTGTCACATCATACAAACAGCGCCGCCATTCGTCATCACATCACATAAGCAGCGCCGTCCTTTGTCACCACATCGTACAAACAGCGCCGTCCTTTGTCACTGCATCGCCAGCGAGCCGCAGCGCACCGCCGCCGCACGACCTCGAGAACACCGCACTGATGTGCTTATGAATGGAGAAGCGACAGACTTTCTGTATCTCCAACATTTTAATTTGCCCTACCGACCTGACCCTGGACCGAACGGCACCGGATCTCCTGGATCCACACCCCTCCCTGAGACCTGCCATACTGACCTGACCCTGGACCGAGCAGCGCAGGATCTCCTGGATCTGCACCCCTCCCTGAGACCTGCTCTACTGACCTGACCCTGGACCGAGCAGCGCAGGATCTCCTGGATCTGCACCCCTCCCTGAGACCTGCTCTACTGACCTGACCCTGGACCGAGCAGCGCAGGATCTCCTGGATCTGCACCCCTCCCTGAGACCTGCTCTACTGACCTGACCCTGGACCGAGCAGCGCCGGATCTCTTGAATCTGCACCCCAGTGGCCGAAGCTACGAAGGCGTGTACCCGGCTCAGGTCGGCTCGCCGGCCGGCCAGCACCAGGTGCGACATCACGAACTGATAGTTGTCGATCAACAAGTCCTTCGGCTTTGTCTGGCGGCGGGAAGCAGCCGCGGTGCGCGGTAAGCAAATGTAAATAGCGTGGAGATCCATGGCTGATCCAAGTCGTTTCAAACTTACATAGGATGTTTATGCACCCTGCTGACTGAACATGATACTGGACAGAGAGTAATTTGAGCTCACATGGCAATGTACCTTCAGTTCATTGTCTACCAACTACACCCTAGCCTGCATTTAGACCATCAGCAGCTCTACCCGACCTCCACTTTGCAAGCAACGCACCATGACAGACTCCATCTTTCCTGTCCTCTGACCTTCATTCAACCCTGAAGAGGACCTACCATAATTATCCACACCTTGAACACGGCTGGCTTTGATCTCACCTTGAGCACGGCCGCCGCGGCGTCCAGCAGATCGGCGCGTCCTTCTGTTGCCATGGCGACCACCAGCGGCGGCAGCAGATGCCGGCGGCCGGCACGCAACAGGCCGTCCAGCGAGCGCCACTCCCAAGCGGCGGCCGCCGCCGTCAGCCGACTGAGTGGCGCCGCCTCTGACACAAGATGGCGGGCCAAGGTCTCGCAGACGAAGGCCCGGTGCCGCTGGCCGGGGTCAGAGGTTAGATCGCCGGGCGGCGGCATGAGAGTCCGGCGACGCCGCCGGACACGGCTGGGGCAGTGTCGCACTAGAGTGCATGTTATTTCACGCGGGGCATGCCGAAAAGCGCTCCCACGTAATCATAATATTCAGGTCTCAAACTGCTCAAGAATTCAAAATGCTGGAAGCTCTAGCAATTTCCACTGAAAAAACGCCCAAAAGCATCCTTGCCGCTATCCAGGCACAAATGCAATTGCCTGGGTGATATTTTCCACTGCGTTGGCGAAGAGTGATAAGCACCCTCACTTCTTGTAAGCAAACCGAACTAAAACCACAAGACAGCACCAGTGGACATTTTGAAGTTAACAATACATCAAATCATGTTCTGGGCCGAATTCAGTCAACAATGACCCTGACCGCTGTTTGACCTTGAAATTGCCATCCCTCCAGCACCCTGATGTGTGCTTAAGGCTACCACTGTATACCACTGCATCCTGATTTTGTGGTCACAGTTGCCACTTGTTGACACCGAACAGCCCCAGACTGCGGTCCACTCTCTTCACCCAACAAGATTCGATTCCCAGGCAGGGTGCTCGCGAACTACATACTGCAGTCACATTGAAAAAGAGAGGCACTTCGCTGAACCAACATAGCCTCCTGTCACCTCTCCCCCCCCCCCCTACACACACACCTCCCTTCCCCTCCCGCCTCGCCTCGCCTCGCCTCGCCTCCCCCCCCTACACACACACCTCCCTGAGTGCGCCCCTACCCTCCTCAGTCGACCGCACGCCTGAGCACGCCGCTGCGCGTACCTGCCAGAGGACGGCGGGCGTCAGGCGCAGGCGGCGGGCCAGCTGCTGCAGGCTGAGGTGGGCGGCGGCGGCCACCGGCGGCTGGCTGGACACTAGCAGCCGCTGCAGGCCGCCCAGCAGACGGCGGACCTGGTCCGGCGACAGTGGCGCCGCGCCGCGGCCTGGCGACGAAGCAAGCCGACGAGTCAGGAGACTGGCGCCGTGCGTTTAATGCAGATGTGCACAAGTGCTGGCAAATGTTGATATGACTAACATTAAAACATGCTTCCATGCAGGTAAACACCACACAACGCGTTCATGAAATTCTGAATAGATGAGGTAGAGGTGTAGGGCCCAAAATACATAAACATCGTGTTCATGCTTGGCTATCATGAGCCTCAGAGTGACCAGTGTGTGATAGAGTAACATTCAGTCAGGTATGACCCACCATTGAGTCTGTGTTCACATTAAGTGTACATGTGTGTTGAAAGGCCACTCATGTTTTCTTGGCAAGGCACAGCAGCCTGGGCGAGGTGTAGGCTGGCTCTGGGCTCTAACACTACAATGGAGTCACCCAGCATTCCTACACAGCAGCAGCCCAGGTGGAAACACAGAGAAGACATGACAGGGTTCATGAGTCACATTTATGCCAAGTGGACACATCTATTGATTTCACACTATTATCTGAAAACACAAACTAAATGCAACACATGCCTTGCAGCTGAGCTTCGGGCGTCTCATACAGCACGCTCTGGAACATCCGCGCCGACTCTTCCTCCTCCAGCGCCACCAGCCAATCGCAGAGCAGCATCTGTGCAGCCGACCAATCATCGCCTCCAGCAAGCACGTGCCGCAGCGCAGACGACCAATCGGTGGCCGCGGGCAGCGCCAGCACGGCCCGCAGCACGGCTGCGCGGTCGGTCGCGTGATTCAGGCAGCGAATTAGGGCACCGCTCTCGGCTAGCGTCACGGCAGCCTGCCATGACGTCACGGCTGTTTGAAGTATGCCGACCACGTCATCTGTGGGCACCGTTGGCTCGGAGAACGGCTCTGAAGGAGAAGACTTCGTACCTGGGTCACACAGCTGGCATGTGACCTGCAACTGGCAACCGTCGAGGCCGTCACCGTCACCTCGCAGCCTGGAAAGGAGCACGGGCTCGGTTGGTCCTTGCCACGCGGTTCCTGACAGGAAGGTTGTGAGTTCGAATCCGACCGCTCCCTTATTTCGCTACTTTGTGAGATTGGCATGAGAAAAACGATGCTGCATTTACATATGTTCAATCAACAATGGCCACAGCGGCTTCAAGAATCGCGTTGGCGATTGAAAAAGATCACGAAAAGCATTCTGACATGGGAAGGTGCAAAAAATGGGCACAGACGCGGCCAACCAAAAACGGCAACACCAATGTCCTTGACCTGACCTTGTGAAAGAGGCGCGGCCGGCGCTCAGACACAGCAGCTGGCCCAGTGGCGCCAGCTGACCGCCTGACGTCACTGATGACACCAGCTGGGCGGTGGCCGGGCGTCCCAGACTGACGGCGGCCGCTGGCAGCAGCGCCGGTGTGACGTCACAGCCGGAGTCGAGTCGCTGCGCCAGCTGGGAGCGCCACAGCGGACACACAGCCCTGGGGAGGGGGCAGGGGGCGGTGGTGACGTCACAGCCGTAGTCGAGCCGCTGCGTCAGTTGGGAGCGCCACAGTGGACACACAGCCCTGGGACGGGGGCGGAGGCGGAGTGTGTGGTGACGTCACATCCGGCGTCGAGCCGCTGCGCCAGCTGGGAACGGCACAATGGACACACAGCCCTGGGGCGGGGGCGGAGTGTGTGGTGACGTCACACCCGGCGTCGAGCCGCCGCGCCAACTGGGAACGCCATAGTGAACACACAGCCCTGGAGCGGGGGCGGAGTGTGTGGTAACGTCACAGCCGGCGTCGAGCCGCTCCGCCAACTGGGAACGCCACAGTGGACACACAGCCCTGGGGATAGAGCAGAGCGTATGGTGTCCGCAGCTCCTCAACTGTCGTGACTGACTGGAATAGTCCATCGCCATGGAAACACTGAAGATAGCTCACACAGGAATGAAGTGTCCAAGGTTAAAATCAGTGTTAGAAGACCAGATTTGAACATGCCGACTGCAGCATGGACATGCACTGAATATAACTAAAGTGACCTCACTATGATGAAGTTATTTCAGCATCAACACCTATAACAGTCAGGGTGCTGATGAGCAGCCACCTAGTGATGATCTCCAGGATCACTAGTCAGCACAGGTGGCCCGATGTCATCCACAATCTCCATCGCATCTCTCACATCTCACCTTACCTTTCCAGACAGCCTAAAGATGGCTCAGGGTCAAAAAGGTTACATCTCCCACTTTTCAAGCATGAGACACTGACAGGGGCATAACTCATTCAACTATACTTTAATATATACATTATTTCAACTCTCTCAACTCTCTTAACTCTCTCAACTCTCAACTTTCAACTCTCAACTCTCAACTCTCAACTTTCAACTTTCAACTCTCTATATTCTAACATAACTATGACCACCACAAAATCCAGTGATAAAAAGTGTATGAAATTTGAGTGGCCATGCTACAAAAATGATGGCGAATATCGGCACACCCTGCATCCGAGAAAATGCTGCACAACTCAGGACAGATCAGAGATGTGATAATGCCAATGCTCACCTGGGAAAGCTGATAAGAACCTTCAGGCAGCTGGAAGCTAGGTCACTTGTGCTTATTGGTCCCAGACGCCCAATAATGGCTTCCAGTCGACCTTTGACCTTGACCTCACCCAAGGTCAGCTGAAGATCATGCCAGTTGACCTCTGAGCCGAGCCACGGCAGCGAAATCAGAGCCGCCAGCACGTCCAGCACAGAGACATCTAATGGCCAGGCTAGCAAACCCGTCACGGCCTCCAAACTGTGCCGGTAGATGGCAGGGAATTCGCCGACTGGACTTGACTCGATCTTGGAGAGCATGTGAAGGATGATCTGCAACAAAAGAAACAAACATTTGACCTGTTTTGTATCGTTTTCTGAGGTGACAGCCACAGGCTAAGCACAAAACAATGCATTTCAAGTGCTCTCTCCGGATAATATCGGGGTATGAAAACAACCTCAAACATGCAGACCGCAGTTTAATGGCAAGCACAAAACATCATGCCAGCGTCTCGTGCCTCACCTCCGCCGCCGCGCCGTCCCGCTCTGCCGACGTCATCCGTGACGTCACCGCCGCGTATGACGTCACGGCTCGACGCCAGCGGTCGGCGGGGAGCCCGGCGAAGTCGGCCGCGGCTTCTACTGCAGGGAGAGGCGGGACAGGAGGCGGCGCGGGCCGCTCCAGGCGGCTGAGGAGCAGCTGGTGCCGAGGAGAGGTCAGACGCCGGCCCAGCAGACCGGTCACCGCACGCAGCGCGTACCTGACGGCGTAGGCAGGGCACCGAAGTCAGAGCAAACAAGCAAAACACCTTACAAAAGGAACGACAAAAGAAACCCCGGAAAATGAGTGCACGAGGAAGTACAAGGGATCACAATTATGGGATGCATCAGTTTTCAACCGATCATTATTTGCTCTGGGATGTTCCCCACTGTCATCTGGGACACCAGAAGCATGGAGTTCAATTCCCCGCATTGCCCCCATTTTCTGTCAGGGCGGGAGGCAGGCGATGCCGCTGTAGCCTCAGCTGCTAACAGCTGCTGTAAGACCTCAATAACATACTTGCTTGAACATACATGCTTCCCAGTGCCCACCATACCCACATACCTGCACACCTTCCCCCATCCACCGATGCCGCAGTTCCACCCATCCCACCTGCAAGCACCGGTGCGACCGAGCTGGGTAAGGCAGGCGACGACCTCGTCCAGCTGCGCGCCCGTAAGCACCAGCAGCTGCGTCACCTCGTCCGCCAGCGCGAACTCCAGCACGCCGCACCGGAAACGGCTCACTTCCAGACCCGGCTGCAGCGTCTGTCAGGAGGGGGGGGGGGGGGGGTGGGAGTTGCCACTCGATAGTGATATTGTCATAGATATTGACATGGATGTTATCGATCAACACCCCAGGCATCACAAACATCAGAGGAGAGTCTGGTTGATTATTTGGACCTCAGTGACGCATCTGGAGGGTCATATAGCGACCACTGGGATGCACTCAGCCGAGGAAAGAAGAGCAGTGATGATTACCACATCGACATTACGACACTCAGCAATTCTGGTAACATTCAGGTCAATACATCCAGACCCAGCAATACTGTATGAGGCTCCCAACACGGACAAAACTAATCATTTCGCCGTCCGCCGACAAAAACCAGTATCAGATTATGAATGTCAGCAACCTGAGTACAATGCTGCGCTCATGATGTAAGCCAGTACCGAACTTCAGCGAGCTCGATGTAGAAGTCATCACCTGTTACAACATTGGCTGCTCATGATGCCACCTGGTGACACCCAAATCCTGTTTGTAAAAGCAAAAACCATCATCATAAACACACAAAGTTGACCTCATGAACTGATAAAGGTATCATCTTGCCTCCTGCTCACCATACCATCTGATAGTCTCGTGATATGTCACCTCATGATAACATCTCCAGCCGGCGCTCAAGCTTCCTTTTCACCTTCACAACCGACGGCAGCGATGTTTCACCGACCAGCCGCAGCGTGACGCCACCGTCGGCGGTCAGCTGACGCAGAGTCGCGATCCACACGTCCAGCACAGGGCCGGCCAGCAGGAGCGGGTCCCGCGCGTGCAGTGTGCGCAGCAGGCGCAGGGCAAACGCCGTGGCGCGCTGCCGGACCTGGCGGCGCGAACGGGTGGTAAGGGCGCAAGCCTTGCCAAAGGAGTCCTTGATCACACCCACTGGTGGTGCACTTCTGTAGATGTGTTTCCCTTGGTAATGTGTGTGGCTGCAACAGCACATAAATGCTCTTTTAAAGGGAATGGATTCATGAATGGTATTCCCTACTTTAAATGGAATATGCACACAGCCTTTTCTACTAACTAATGTATTGAAAGCTCTTCATTTTTACCAACAATGCAGATAAATAAGTAGCAAATCACAGCACATGGAAAACGTGCAGCATTACTCACCGCTACTACGCCTCATGCCACCAGCACCTTAGGGGCCAACGGATCATCTAAGAATGCAGTGTTCTCACCTCTCCTGTCCTGAGGTCACCATGGACCACCACCAGCTGCGAGAACACCCAGGCAGTGAACTCCTGACACGGTCGCCGGTCACCAGATGGCTCCACCAGCGCGGATACAAACACCCCTGCATCGTTTGACAGACATGCTTCTAGCGATGTCAGTAGCAGACCCAGACTTCCACCACCACCCAGAGATGGCAGCACTGTTTGAAAGACCGCTACAAACTTCTCACGGAGGCTTGAGTGGTCTGGGTCTGTCATCTTTAGTACCTGAAAAGCATGTTAGTCCCTCTAGTCAGGAAACATTTCAGGGCTTAACTTCATGCCATGACCGGCATTCATGGTTATCCTTCGGAGAACACAAACTTGTCATCCGGGCTATTTTTCCACTTATCAACAATCTGCATCATGACATCTTGTTGGATGACCACAATTATTTTTACAGATTTGATCCACACTTGTTGAGCAGATGGATTTCTGGGATCAGAGCTCACATCATGCAGTGCTTGTTAAGTGAGCCCTGACCACATCATGGAATTCCAGACACCCCAGAATTTTGTGATGAAAGATTCATGTGCCGCAATGCTGGGCAGGGACTCTCCTGCCCTCTGATGTCAACTAACCCTTAGCACAACCACTGTCTGGGCTGCAGGTCATACCTGTCAAGGTCAAATAGCCTGCCCTAAAGCCACTTGAGTCCACCTCAACCAGATCTGAGGGCCCACCTCAACCAGATCTGAGGGGGGGGGGGGGGGTGGATCCAAAGGCAGGCAATCTAACTAACTGAGCCACCAGAACGGATAGGATATAGGATGAAAGGTGACACTTTTTGCTGGTGGTGCTATCCTGAGTCAGCAGACCTTGTTTGCTCTTTGGCATATTTTTATTGTTATTTTCATACATCTTGTCTGCACACTTTAATTATAGTAGTTAAAATGTCATTATCATAGCATAATTTATTTTGCATCACCAGGTTGGTACATACCTGTCCACATACAGATACAGACACAACCATGCACACAAATATAGAGCAAGACAGTAGGCAAGACTCAAAACTTGCTTGGTGGGTCAGGGGACTGCATCAAGGGTCATGACCTAATCACTGATTTCTGGGAGATAAGAATTCACCCTAAGGCTTGTAGGATTAATCCTGATCCTATCACCCAATAAAAAATCCACTTCTACAGCAAAGGTTGGGTCAAAAGGCTAGGCAGCGCAATACTCTGCATGGTCCTCCACCATTACCTGATCTGACCTTGAACAATCACTGCCACTAGCCACAGGTTACCCCAGCCAGGAGCAAAAAAAAGCTTGGAGGTGGCTTGAACCACCCAGCAACACTAGCCAGGTTGGGATTGTTGGGAGGCATGTGTTCTGATGAAAGGCCCATTTGACCATCCCTGTAGCCCAATGTAAAATGTATAGCATGTATAGTAATGTATAGCATGTATAGCATGTAAAATGTATAGCAATATAAAGTGTAATGTATATATATATATATGTATATATATATATATATATATATATATATATAATGCTATCCATACTGAAGTTTCATCTATTTAATTTCAAAGATTAAATCAAGTAATCCTGTCTCCTGATGATCATACGCATTATACATTGCAAAGGCATCATGCATGACATTTATTCTGAAAGAAGGCATGAATCCTGCCTGATATCCCTGTTGGGTAGTGCCGTGGTACCAACATCTATATTAAAATCTTGCTAGACCTAGTTCAATAGCAAGATAGCATGACCAGCGCAAATGAGTGCGCACGTCACAATAAAGTTAACGTACCTTCTACACAATGTTCGCGAGCCAAAAATGTCAACACTAGGGAGTCTCTGGCGTGATTGCGGGTCTAGTTGAACACTCTAGCGTCGGGTCGTTGCGACAACTGCGTTCGAATTACTAGCGGCATCAGTCGCCAGCCACCTCTTTGGTTACTTCAAAAGCGGCCCAGCGCCTTGCAGGTACATGTCTTCTACACCGGTGATCACCCGCCAAATTTCGAAGATGTGCGGAATGCGCACTGTTCGTCAAGATATATGGCAGCACTTTCATCATGATTGATCAAGAACATTTCCACAACTTGAACTACCGTCGCGTTTGATCTACGTATTCTAAGATGCTGAGCGATTTTTGCATGATAAACTGAAAAATGCAATACGGACGTGGTGTAATCTTTATTACGTGTTTAATCTACATGTATGGTTCAATATGTACATTAAATACATAACTCACTCCTGGCTCTCGAAATGGAAATTGGCCGAGCAATGGGGGGTGGAGATCACTCGCGGATCCATAAGGGAGGTGAGGAGGGGGGGGGGGGGGGCACAGGGCCATTTCCCTTCTCTTGTACCCCAAAATCATCGGTATGGGGTTCTCCCCGCTACCTCTGAGAGCCCTACACTAATGACGGGAATATCTGCGTTGGCCCGCCGCGACACGCTCGGTCACTCAGGTACCGTCCCCATTGGTCTTGGATTTTCTATTTTGCCATAGGGCCCACGCCGTTGACGGGAGCCCAAATGTTAACCGGCCAAGACACTCTTGATCGTTCAGACCTTTCCACATCTGTCATGGGCTCTTCAGGTCAAGTCAACAGAATCTTACTCTGTTGCAGAAAGCGCCATTTGTGCCTGCGAGCGCTAGGACGTTTCGCCTGCCTGTGTGTACGGGCGTGCCAAAATTTACGTATGTACACAAGTCCGAGATATACACGATGATGATTTCCTCTTACATCCAATCCCCAGAGAGAGAGCCAAATATATTCCGATGATTTTTAAGCACAACTACCGAGAATAATGTTACGCGCCACCGACGTCGTATGCAATATTCGTTGGTTATTGAATCCATTATGGAACATATGGCAGCTGTGTGACATGAAACTTAAGACAGCTGTGCAGCACATTTTAACATATTTTATGTCCTGGGGTATTGTGCTCCCTTTAATTACGGTCAAAGAAAGCATTCTGCGTTAGACATTAGAGACCAGCTGTTCACATAAACTAGCTGGCGAGCCGTGAGTAGCCTTGGAGTCAAATTTTTAGCTTGATTTTGACGGTACTTCTTAGCTAGCTTTAGCTTATTTTGCCATCTATTCTCCGCAATACTAAGCCTCAAAATAGCAGGATCCACCATGATCTGGATACAATGAACGTGATTCATATATGAACAAACGTACCACGCCTAGCTCTCGAAGGGTGCGCACAGTAAAATGGTACCGCGTATAAAAAAACAGCATTCATAATAATTTGTTTTCAAATCGAATGGCCGGAGTATGAGGATCACCTTTTTGGAGGGAGCCCCAAGCTCCCGGGGCCACGCCATGTTGCGTGGCCCCTATGACGACATCCAGGATCCGCCATCAGCGGAGATCACAAGGAAGGCCATGCACAGATTACTCGTCCCACGCGTTTCAGCTAAAAACACCGGGGCCTCAGGGCCTCAACAGCTAAAAACACCGGGGCCTCAGGATCTCAACAGTACTGTAAATGCGCGCCAGCAAACACCCCGGGAACACCACGACCCCGCAGTGCACGGGACCACCTGCGGTGCTGTGGCTGTGCTCAGCGGTGCTCGCCGCCCCAGCTGGTAACCGGGCGCCGTGCTCCCTCTACCCTGCAGAGCTGAAGAGCGGCGGCGAGCCGTTGCTGTCGACTGGACGCCGATGCCGGTGGTCTTTCTTCTGTGGTCGGGGTGGTGCTGCAACGCTGCCAGTGGTGTCACCGCCTTTGGTTTATATATTAAATGGCGATTTGTGTGTTCTGGCGAACAATGAATGCACTGCCATTGGCCGTATGCGTTCTACGCTTCTTGGTGCTTGATTTCTGAAAGGCGCTACATTTTTTACATAGGTAACACACATGTTGGGAACGCATTTGACAACTCATTGTTAAATGTGTGCTTAGCAACAACTAATAGTCCTTTCTTCAGACATGTAGCCACTCCGAGCCTGATGTTGCCCAACAGGGGTGCGCTACAGCCGACCGCCATTGTTTTGCTGAAAGTTGTCCAGCGCGGAGCCCCGCTTCCGATTGGTGGTTCTGTTAGTTGATGGGTTTGGCCTCGCTCTACAGCCACGGTACGTAGTTCATATCACAAATTGCCCACACGTCGCCGGCTTTCCTTAGAAGGTAATTTTTCAGACCATTACTGCTGGGAGCATCAACTTAGATAATTCAATGTAATTCATGATGCCTGCATGTCCGTCATACACTAGAGTAAACAAAGTCATTCTCATGTATCGAATGCAGTGGAAGTTCTTGCTAAGAAAACACGGGTGTCATGGCATTATTACAGCGTGCACGCGGCTTATTGATTGCCGACCAAGTGAATGCATTCGTGGAACGCCGCGTCCAAATAATAGTCCCGGGTAATAATCTGACAGCTATTGCCATTTACGCAGGAGTTCATTGATCTTCTTTTTAACTGTTCACTCTGAATATTTATGCCGGTACGCGACGTTTGCACGCCAGCAGAGCATAACGAACCATAGAAATAAACGACACGGTAGAATGAGGGCCGGCCTGGGTCGTGAGGCAAACCTTACCTGTTGTTAGTTGCGGACAGCCTGAGCGTGGGGAAGCTCACCCTCGGCTCCTTCTCCAGCGCGCCGTGCAGGTTGCCGTTCCTGTTGGAAAGGTCGTACTGCTGGTTCGACTTGAACCGTGCTCTCCGCTGAGGACTCGCAGGAGATCAATGCCCGAGGGGGAGATCTACGATGTCTTACAGTTCTCAGCAGCTCTGAAAGTTCACTCTCCAAGATCATTCAGTGCAGCCAGCTCGATGTTTTGCTTCCTTTGACCTGTACGCCCGCCTGAAGATTTGAGGACTTGGAAACTTGAAGAAAGGATTCACGACATCACGGCAAGGCACGGCAGCTCACCAGCTTGCAACCTTAGCACTCAGCCCAGCGTCTACACGCTTGTTGGGGCTGGAACGGCTACAGGTGACGTCATATAGGAATACACCACTTTCTCTAACCGAGGAAGCCATTACTGCTCGCGTCTAGACGTATTTAGCTGCAAAATAGCAATGCAGGTGTCGGCCGCCAAAGGCATTCCTGTCCGCGAAGCTCCCGTGGTCTCTCATAACGACGTTGGACCACAAGACCCCGGTTGGCAAGCCTCCACTGTTGCCTCACGGGTGTTCATCGGCCTTCTGAAGGCATCTGGCCAGTACGCCTCCAATGGCTGGCGTTCACTGCTGTACTCCGCGATCGTCTACGTTTTGCTGACGTTATACACGCTGGAAAACATGAGGGGGATTCTGCAGGTCGTTGTTGAGACCCTGAACGGAGGGCAGGCCATCTTTGACGCAGGGTTCAACATGCTGGTTAGCGCGGTCGAATCAATTCTTATGCACGCTGCACTCACAGCCAGTTTCTGTTATGGTAGACGTTACTTCGCACATCAGATGACACTCATTCAGACTAGACTGGACAAAGCGATGACGCTTTTCAATTTTCCGAACTGTGCAAAGAGCATGAACAGAATTGACGGGATTCTGGTGTGGATTGTAATGTTAAGGTCGTTGTTTTCACTATTTAGTGTCCTATGGATTCTCAGCGCCTTTCATGGTGGCTGCAAAGAAGCTTGGAAATGTTTTTATCTGATTGTAGTTGCCTTCGCCCATTCTATGTTTTTCCTCTGTTTTGACTTACTGCCTCTGAAGTTTATTTTCGCTGGCCAGCGTGTCGCCTGTGGCTTCAGAGTCGTGAACGCAGAGCTCGAAACCATAGTTGACAGGTGCTCTCCCGAGGACTGGACCCGGCTTCGACGTGTGCGATTGGCCCAGGCAGGACTCTCCAAGGCGTTCACACAGCTAACGGCTGGCATGACACTGGAGCTGCTGATCACCATGCTGGTCGGAATCACGGTGAACGCATGCATGTATCTAATGGTAGTGATCACAGCAAAAGAGGGATCGCTGGTCGTCGAACTTCTAGTGATTATCCAGCTCGTAATGTTGCAAGCCGTCGCCATAGTTGGGCCGTGCGAAGCCAGCCAACTTGTTCTGCGTCTGGTAGGCCTCACCCAAGACCTGTTGCTGGAGATAGAAAGTCGCTCACCGGAGGTCATCCACGAGCTGAACCTGTTCCGCAGGGCGGTACGTCGTGACCTGAACTCCCTATGTGACCTGGGCCTGTGCCGCCTCCAGCGGTCCACCATGCTGTCCATCACGTCCACCGTTCTGACTTACGCTATCGTGCTGCTGCAGTTCTACGTGACGGAGCTGGGCTCAACCGGAGGGGGAGGTCATGTCAGCTCTGGTCACCGGTCAGGCAACCATTCACTGGATGCGGGGCTTTAAGTTGGTGGTGGGCACCTTCTGCTATCCCCGAGCTGTTACTACCGTGGTAGAAGATCCCTAGTACCCACATCACGCCGAACGGAAGGAACCTCTAGACGAAATCTCCTTATGTGGAGCATGTGTGGACAGTGCAGCCAGTGTACGACGTGTTGCCATTGTTGTCTTTTTTCGCTCACTTGAATTGGCCTGAGCTGCTGTCGCTTTACAGCACGCATGAACTGAGCATCACAGTCATGGTCATAACATAGTCGTGTCATGGTCAAATTAGTCACAAGACCACCAAGCATGCAGTGTGAAATCTCGGATATAGTTGCATTGTGCTTAATGGACGGGTAGCCCAGATCACGTTGTAAGTTTTACGCACCGTGAGCGCATCTGCTTCTGGTACGAACAATAAGTTAAGCACAAATGCTGAGATCGCAAATGTTGTCACTACATGTGGTCGTCAAATTTCATTGGCACTTAATCTAAACTCATACCCACCGTCTGTAACAGCGTGTTGCTTGTGTTGTGGCTATCGGACTGTCTTGCGCCAATAAACTCAGGATATCGAGGCTGCTGGTTTTATCAAAGTGACTCCTGCACGAGTCACAGATCTAACCGATCGGTGTCAGCTTGTACGG